GAAGCTTCTGCAGTTTCAGCTGTGACCAGCTCAGTGACTCCAAGCGCAGATATACGTATGGCAATGCTGTGCTGGATAAAATGAAAGTGTGCCGTTCTCCCCCTCCTGACTACAACTCTGTGGTCCTTTATTCTCAGCCACCTGTTTAAGTACTTCTAGGCCAAGATTTAAATATGCATTTATCCAAAAAGGTTCTTCTGAAACACTGTCAGTTTAAAAACTTTGACCCAAATAATTTTAATTACCTTAAAATTTAAAAATATATCACTGGCTTAATCTCAGTGATCTGCTTTTCTACAGACTGCAACAAGCGCATACAAAATATAGCAAAATACTAATGCTTAGGCCTTAACTTTCCCAATGCTGAACATGAACAGCTGCCACTAAAATTGCCCAGTGCTTCTGAAACAGACATCATCACAGAGAAAACCAGTTTGCTGTTTGGTCCCTGGCAGCAGGATGGTGTTTCATGCTCTGGTCACCCAAGCTCTGCTCAGCCCCAGGTGCAGCACCAGTGTCACAGTTGGGAGGAGCAGCTGGGAGCCCTCAGGAGCTCCCTTGTCAGGCACCAAGTTAACCTGCAGCCTATTGCTGGGGCCTGTGCAGTGCTGGAAAATAAAGGACTCTCTAAGAAGAGAGAATAAAGAAACAGACCACGCTCTCTGGTTTTTAGTAAAAATTCTACTTTGAGAAACTTGAGGGAAGGCTATGCTCTGAATTAGCTACCTGGGGATGGGGGCATTATACAGCTCTTACTGCTTTGGATGGCAAATGCAGCAAGGAGTCTCACAAAGCAAGAATTTCAGACGTTGCAAAACACAATTGGCAAGCAATAGAGGAGAACTAAGATCAGAGCCAGGGCTGCAACAACAGGGACTACAGATCAATTCAGCTGGGACAAGGCTGCTGAAATCAAGTAAATATTCTTGAATTTTTGCACTTTGTCAGTATGCCAACACACATGCACTGGAACCAAACCACAAGCTAGATATGTTAAAGCCAAGATCTGGCCATGAAACCTCATGGACCTTTTAACACTGCACTGATTATATTTTATTTATAGGAATCTATCTGAAAAGATGGAATGACTACTAAACTGCATATACTTTAAATGAACTGATTACTAGACAGTTTGAAGAGTTACAAACGAGAAGACAATCTTCTTGGAAAATTAGGGCAGCTTTTCTATGAAGCCAGTTAAATTTCCAGGTTAGTTACAGGACATATGTACAGGAATAAAAATGCATCATTCATCTGCAATAGACTCTTGTATAGCATCTCAGAAAAGGCATAAATGTTCTTTCTTTGGAAAACATAAGGATGTACCATCCCCTTTTGTCCTTGAATGCAATATAAAAGTAAGAGTTGGCCATTTAACAGAGTAGTGCTGACATCTTTCAAATCAATAACTACTGCCCAATCTCAGCTTCTCATGGTCCAACATAAGCATATTTTAACTAAAAGTTCCTCAGCTTTGGAACTGTGAATTTAACACACTAATGAACTTGAAGGCAAATGACCTTTTGTTTATTTACAAAGAAAGATGTTCTTGGATATTCAAGTAAAAGAAATGTGTACTACTACTTCTGAGCTAAGTATCAATTCTAGATCTTCCCGGCCAAGAGATCATAATTTTTAAGTTATCTACTGCACTGTCTTTTGCTGGTAAAGTGTATTTGTTCTTGATCAAGACAAAAGGAAAGTTTAAGAACTGTTTCTTAACTGCAGTTGAGCAAAAAATAGCTATGGGATGATGCATCTCAAAGAAAATGTTTGCACACTTGTAAATATATAAATATGCTTTTTGTGCATAAATATTTAAGAAAACTGGACAAAGATTACTTTTATATGAACCCCCTAAGTTTCTTCAGATGTGAATAACTCTTTTTGTCTTGCATTTTCTGTCTTCATAGAATGTATTTGACTGCTGAATTCATATAATAAAGTTTGCTTTTGAAAGAACCTGCAAAGTTCTGCCAAATGAGTTAATCCAGTGTCAGAGACTACTGTAGCAGGTGATTCAGCATTGGGCAGCAAGCACATCTGGCACACAAGCCACCCAGGGGCCCGTTTTGTAAGCAAAGGAGAACATGGAGTAATTGCATGGCAGGCACACTTCTCACACAGCAAAGCAGATACAGACAATTGCAGTGCTCCCTGAGTGATTGACAATCCCTAGTTTCAGCCTATCAAAGTGCTTACTGCTGTCTAGAGGCAAAAAATTCAACTCTGCCTCTGGGAGAGGCAAGGTTTCATGGTGGGGGGAGAAAAAGCAGCCCACTGATGAACAGCCATCCAACTGCCCCAACACACGGTTAGTTCTGCAGCTAGAAAATGTGGTACAGACGAAAGGACTGTTCTGAACCCACTGTGACAGAAGTTAGCACTTTCTTTTCTTCTGTAAGTTTTAGGATATATTAACAGTGGCATGCATTAAATGCACTTCGTGACTCGTGATTGATTGATCTCTGCACTGCAGACAGAGTGAATACAAAAGAAAAAGGATAGAATGAAATACAATTGCAAAAGTCCCATATCCAACTTCAGAACTTCAATTGTCAAAATAAGGCCACGTTATTTCTGGTATTCTTTATTAAAAATACTGCTGTACACATGAAGAATGAAAACGGGATTAAAGATGAATAACACATATTGGGATCATGACATTAGAACTTAACATACTGGTGCTTTTTAGGGGAAGCAGTTGACACCTGAATTACTGAAACAAGGGCAAATCAAAAATACATAGGTACCCTCAACAAAATATTTACAATATAGTAAATACAGCAACAGAATTTAAAACAGGTACAAAAATTAAAATGACCAACATCATCTGATTTCAAAGGTTGTCCCTTCTGTGCTTTTAGCTGTGAAAAATAGGAAGGTCAGAATTAAGTTTCCCATCTGGGAGGGCACATCCTGGTGGCTCTTTTTAAATACAGATACACAATTCTTCCTATGAATGGATCAAACTACAACTTTAGGACAACCTTCTAAATGGAATTAAAATGGGGTAGAAGGGCTCTCCCCCAAAAAACACCCAAGCTGAACTTCAGACTGTTCAAATAATTCCCAAATATGGACCAAATGAAATAAATAGAAAACAAAGCTCAACTTTTTTTTTTTAATTTTATGTATTACCTGACACCAAATATTTTCTGGCTGACATTATGTATGAAAACTTATTAGCTGTCTACCTTTTTATTTTTAAACCAAGTCCTGAGGTTACTAGGGGCTGAAGCAAACTGACATTATGCAAATACACACAGGTTTGCAATTTAGACATGTCTTGCAGAGGGTGGTTTGCTGGTCTAAAAAGGATGAGAATTCAAGCCCTATTTTACCCCTGCCTTACACTTTCACAAAATATTGGTCCACAAATTAAATTTTCAAAGGTTCCCAAACCCCACAACTGAACAGATGATCCCCTTTCATTTTCAAAGAAAACAATACTGGAAAAAACCTCAGCCCGCTTATAAATTAAGCATTTCATATTTCTTCTAGAATACAAGTACTTCTGTTTTGTACAAAAGAATTACAATATGATTTGTCAAAAAACATATAAAAGACAGCTGCTCTTCCTCAAATACATGAGCTAATGATAAAAGACTGTTTTGCATGTTCACTTTTCAAAGTTCCTGTTCCTTTTATATTAAAAAGAACATTCTGGCAACTGGTATCGTTTGAATATTAAACATTATGTTCTTTTTAAAATTCATTTGATCAAATGCAACAATAATCGATTTTTAAACTCAACAACTGATGCTACCTAATGTGGATTCAACCACATTTTCTAAAATGTGTAAAGCACGTCCCCAGTCTTCAAAGCTTTCGATGTGAAGAGAGTTGCTTTTTTCTTGATGCAAGTCTCAAGGCGGAGAATCATTTTAAAGCTTATAAAAGTGGACAGAGAAATATTAAAAACTTCTCTGAAAACTACAAATATTGAGATTAAAATTGATGTCAGTAACATCAGTTGCAAGTGCTTAGAGTCTGTCCTGACCTTTTGAGTTTCCACATTTTCTTCATGGTGAGCACCCAGTGCTATTAAAACATTCAGTGCTGGGAAAGGATAGATACAGTCTTCACTACTGCTTTAAGAAAGGAAATTCCTACATATTTGGCAGTCTTCAGTATCAAAGTGTAGGTGTTTAACTAAAAATCCCATGAATACCCAAGTTTGGAGACAACTGCATGTCCAAATATTAGAAAGGTAATTGAGGAGGAAAATTCCAGACTTTAGAGACTGAATTACAGAATCACAGAACGTTAGGGATTGGAAGGGACCTCAAAAGATCATCTAGTCCAATCCCCCTGCCGGAGCAGGAACACCTAGATGAGGTTACACAGGAAGGCGTCCAGGCGAGTTTTGAATGTCTCCAGAGAAGGAGACTCCACAACCTCTCTGGGCAGCCTGTTCCTGAATTACTTCAGGAATATTCATGTGTTGAGTATTATCAAAAGTAATATTACTTTGGGCTAAGCAGTGACTGCAAAGGCACAGCAGATCATTATTCCTCCAGATTCGGGCTGTAAAACTTGAAAAGCTCTTGATGCCAGACAACTGCTGTGTTTAGTTAATCTTCTTTTAACAGTGTCTTTGTATCTGTATCCAGTGTAGCGTACCATAATAAAGCTGTGGTTCAAAGAACAGAACTTTATACAAAAATTATACGGTAAATAACCTAAAGTAATATACTCCTGAAACTTCAGGCATTTAAACAATTTCTTTAAAAAAAAAAATCTATTAAAAAAATTGCATAAATGTAAATGCTTCTGACTAGCAGGAAAACGTACAAACAGTTTTTAAAAGGCGCTGGTTGTGTTTAGAGCAAGTTTGATATGCTCCTTAAATTATAGATGTTTCCCATGTTGCTATTTTCATCACTTCACTTAGACAAAGTTTAAATCAAAAGATGGGGGACTTTCTTTCCTTTTTTGTCAATTCACCGATACTTCGCTTGACTGGTATAAAAAGTTTCATCTTCTCACGTTTCTTTGAGCTAACAGTGGGTGGCATACAGAGCTTGCATACAACACACTTTTACAGAGGTTACGAACTAAATGGTCATTAACAGAACAAATTTTATTAAATTATTTACCTGGTCCTTTATGCTATTCTGGGTGCAAATAATATAAAAAATGAATAAATTTTGCTATATCCTCAGTGACAAAAATGTATCCCAGAAATGTCCTTGCAAAGAGTTTCCCTTAAGTATACAATGTGGCAAAACTTCAGAGATCAGAAAAGTCTTAAAAAAATTAAAATTAGTGCATATACAAGTGGAAAAAATAAAAGCAGGAACATCATGCACCTGATGTGTTCCTTAATCTAAAATAAATTCTTCACAGATAAAGCCTCCAATGGCAGCCTTAGCTCTAGGATAAGTGAAACATTCTTCCCTTCAAGTAACAGTGTACCTGACTGAAGTGCAAGCAGCTTTGCTCATCTCCTGTTTGTTTCCCAAATGTGAAATGAGATGACAACAACAATTCAGCTGTAGTGCAATTTGCTATCGGTTAAGTTCCTCAGCAATGTCCTGCATGCTTTCAGCAAATACTACAACTGACCATTTGCGGCTGCAATCAGTTCTTGAAAAGTATTTTCAAAGCAGCGTTTTAAATCGCTGTAAGTTACCACAAGTACACTCTTCTCATCTCTGGAAATGAGGCTTATTTTTTCTGGCACACCAGCATCTAACTGTAACAAGAATGCAAAAGATAAAATAAAAGAAGTGTGAAAGAAATGGCAAAACATTTCCCCAATAACAAAAGCAATCAATTTCTTGGCAAGTGCATTGTTGTGGTGCAGTTCAAATCTGCTAACACCACAGAAAGGAAGGATCTGAATGCACCACAACAATGTACTTGCCAAAAAATCGAGACATTTTGGTCTTAACCTGAGGGACATTCCAGACCTTTGGACTAGGTTACCATTGTTTTCTTCCCTTTCCACACAGCTAGTAATCCTGCAGTGCTATCCTCCCCTGTGTAGAAAGCCTTGCATAATTTCCATATAGCTCCTTATGAACAAAACCATGGTTCACATTACATTTGCACATAAGATCCACAAGCCTCCAACACAGAGTAGGTAAATTACTTTTTGCCCACTGTAAAACTAAACAATGGATGAACCAGCCCCAGGCAGTTTGAAAACCAGTAGAAACCCCAACCTCACATTTTTGGCAGTACTGGAAGCAAACTAGTTCCTAAGCTGTATGTCACGTTTCTTCCCTTAATCAAAAAAACCAAACCACAATCTAGTTGTAACCCATAAACAAATATATATTTTGGGGTTAAACATTAAAGTCTGTTCCACATTTGTTTTCACGTTTTGTTCTGACTTCAAATTCAATATTAAAAAATTATGTGTCACACTATGTACTTTAGAGATGTACCACTAAATCCTAATTTGGAACAGAGGAATATCCTACTTTACATGCTGAAGTCCCTTCCAACACTGTATCTTATGCTCTCACTTTGCAAGAAATGTTCATCAATGGAGAACTGTCAGACTGTCTAATAATGTCAAAGTTTTGTAGCTCTGTTTTAGTTAATATACTGATATTTCCAAATCCTTGATACTACAAACTTTCTTGTTCCAACACAGAAGGTGGGGCAGAGACAAGTGGAATATGATACTATTGAGACAATCTTTGGAAATACAACCCCAGCAGGATTAAAGAAATGTATTATAACGTTGTACTGAATAGCAGAACAATTAGATTTGTCACCGAGATATTCCACTAGCTGCTCTCTAGAGCAACATAGCAAGTTAAGAGATTTCCTGCATTTATCTTCTAAAATAATGTTCTGAACAAAATCTTAAAAGCTGGAACCTCTCAAACTTAAAGTTCCTGCTTTGTGGATAGTTTCAGGAGAACAAAAGCAAGCCAATTCATTTTTAATTCATAAATAGAGTTAGGATAAAAACGCCAGTCTCTTCCAACATCCATTACAAAATTTTATCACATCTTTCTGAAATATTGTCTACTGGTCCCATTAGCATCACTCAAGAAATCTGTGAATTACCATAATGAATTTAGGATATGAAAGTTCTGTATTAAGAAAGCCACACAGCTAACCAGAAACATCCATACTTATGGCTTGCTTTCTCTCCTTCTGTGGACGCATAAATCAATATTGCAGCTGAAAAGGTTCCCAAAATGCCCCACTGAAAAAAAGATACTTCTTTTTTTTTAATAATTTGCATTCAAAAGGAATGCTTTTGGAGTATTGCAGGAAACCCCAAATAACCACTTCTACTAGTGCACACTACAGCTTCAGAAGTGTTTTTTAGAGTGTATTTCCAAAGTAGATTTCTGTAAGCCTTACTTTTTTTTGTGTGTGTGTGTGCTGAGCCCACAACCACAGAAGAGAAGAGCTTCTGTTTAAAAAGGTAAGCCATGGACGTTTATAGAACAAAGCATTCTTTGACACCGTCTCTTACCTGACCTACGAATTCAGGACTGTTCCCTCTTGCTACAGTATTGTACAGGTCACTGCTTTCAAATCATGATGGCATTTCACTGCCTATTCGAATATCAACATGCTTTCTTTTTGATTTAGCCTCAATCCCTTTAATGCCCTTTTTAAAGTGATTACAGACACCAACCAGAAAGATAAAAAGGAGGTTAAAGAAATGCACAGTAGTGGTCTAAAAGCTCTGACAATTTAGAAAAAGATTTAACAGTAGCTAAGTCAGTTGTTGCATGTCAAAGAACTCTGAATATATCTATTTTTTTCTGGGACAGTTGGCTATCATAATACTAGAAAAGAAAACAGTAGCTACAGAAACTGTATATTGTCAGTGTCTGCATCACCATTCTCTACAAAGAGAATGGAATGACCAAGCAACTACCAGAAAAAAAAAAAAAGAAAAAAAAAGGAAGAAATAGCATCTTACTCTCCTATGAACTACTGAAATGTGGCAAAACAATGTAAAATAAGTTGAAAGTTTAACTACAAATAGAAAAAAATTATTAGCTTGCATAGTTTTTTAATTTACGGAGCAAGACAAGTTCTACAACTACTGAAGATCTTGTGGTCTCTCACACATCTGCTATTAATCATGAGAGTGCTCAGCTAAAATTTTGCTAGTGGCACAGCTCTCAGAAAACTGCAAATATCTTTGATAACAACCTTGGAAAATGAAGGGCTGGAGAGACTAGGGAGGTTATCGGAAGTGGACTTAACATTGTAAGTCACAGAAGTTTTCCAGCACTGTCCTAGATGGTAAGGATTTTGCACAAGTTTCTATTGCAGTGTCCCTCCTGATATGCCCTCCTGCCTCCTCCTACTCTGGTCAGCAAGAGTTTAGGAATGGATCTTCTTGCCCAATGACCCCTCTTGGTGATAACTAAATCAGCAGAAGCCTCCCCCAGTTAAAGGGGTTTTATGGATCCTTTATGCTGTATTGAAAGACCAGAGTAGCATAAAGGGACCAGCATTGCTTATCCACAGTATTCAATGCATTCTAGGATGAAAAGTTAATACTGTATCTCATGCTATATTATCGAATTCAGAGTTTTAATGTGAATGTGCTAAGTTTATTTAAAATATCCATAAATGTTTGAATATTAACTTAGTAAATACATTGTTTGCATCCAAAACAGGGGCGAAATAACCATTAGTTAAATCAACAGAATTAACCTGCCAGTGACAACTTGCTTTGAAGTGGAATGTTATTTTAAAGAAAGTTAACCCAAACAAATTTTTAAAAGCTAACCCAAGTACAGTGTACCTTGTTAAGACATGAGATAATGTGACTGAGGTCAATCCAAGGAGTACCCGCTTCTGTCACCTGATGGAAAAGGTGATCTCGAAAGAGCTTTAGTAAATACCTGTCTCCAGTTTCTGACCACGTTGGGTCCTTCTGAAACCTGGTGTAAAACAAGGGCTCATATTAAAGCTTAGAAAGTTTTTAAAAAAATCAAACCCCATACATATACATGACTCTTCAATCTAAACTGAGTAATCTTACTGCTCTGCTAAACTACCCATTGTAACTTGCAATTAAATTACAATCTCCCCATATTCAAAGTTTCTCAGCTGAAGTACCTGAACCTAAAGCCTACCAAAGACCCACAGAAGAGTGATGGAAGAAAGCAAGAGCTATCTTCAAGAGACAAGAAACCCTGCATTGCAAACTGTGTTTTAGATATTCTACACCAGGAAAATAAGTGTTTCTTACTCTGGCCTCTCATTGATTGTTCCCAATTTTGCTAGAAGTCTAAACAACCTTCCATTTTGCACCTCCTAGAAAACAAGAAACAGATTATTAAAGTTTCTGGAACATAAAATTAAGACATTTGTTTTCAAAAAAATATATATTAATACCAATGAAGCACTATTGAGTACAATGATTTATTTATTCTAAGAGGATATAATTTTTTTTCAGAAAGAGATCAAATGCATTATATTGTGTATCAGTAGCCCAATGCTCACTGTAGCACTTCATATTAAAATTAGAATGTGGAGATTTAACAACTAACACCACCTTGCTAGCCCAGCAGGAACTGAATCAGGCAGTCTATTTCTTTGTGGAAATAGTCTAGTTTCTTGCCAGCCAATACTTGCAGGTATGCTAAAATATAGCAAGTCATACAAGAATACATTTATATATATTCACACAGTTATCAAGGACTGTAAAAGTGTATAGTATAATACCTTATTTCAGGTAAAGATGAGAAGGGACATCATCTACCAAATCTGTTTTTCAGAAATGCTTTGTATACCATTATTAGTAAATATTTAGCAAAAACATCAGACTAGTATTCAGATTACAATTGATTCTAAATATAATTCTGATTTTTTTAAGCTAGAATTCAAGCCTGAAAACAGTATGAATTCTGAGTCCATCAATGATAGAGATAAAGCAATGAGAATGAGCTCATACACAGACAGAACATTAGAATTATAGATGCGCAGGATACATGCAATTGAAAAACTGATTTCATACATTTTTCCTCGTCTCTTAAGATACAGTAAAAAGAGTTACATCCTAGCTTACATTGCACTGTGGATTAATCTTTTAAGTAAAAACTGCTCAAAGCTGGCAGGAAAAAGATTCTCTCCTGATATTATTCATATTCTCCAATGGCCCAGCTCTCCAACATTATTCATGCTAAGCTGCGTCTCATCTCATGCATGATCATATTGATTTCAAATTAATTCAGTCTGAAGTAGATTACTGTGCACAGCTGGATAAATAAAGTAGGTCAAGGTGATAATAGCTTGACCTCAGATAACCTATAGGTTGCATGACTTCTATTACCAGTCTAAAAAAACCCAGCAGAATAGCTTGTACCACAACAGTAGCTACACTTAGAGACAGACAGGGAATATCTAGCTAGCAGAGGCCTATACAACCTCCAAATAATTTTTTGGTATGTGGCCAAATACACGAGAGTCAAAACCACATCTGCATGAATGCCACTGCCTTGCAGGAAGTGGAAAAATGGGACTGCTTAATGCTGATTACAGGACGATGTCCATCTTTGTTATGGGAAAAGGTCCACCTGCCCAAATCTGTGCAGGCACATTGGCCACCTCAAAAAGAAATGATCTTCAGAGCAGGAGCAGTGGTTGGCTTTAAAAGAGCAGGCACCTGTTGTCTGGAACTCTGCATCCAAAGTAGATACTGCCTTGCCCTTCTCCAGCTCTTTGCTTCTGATAGATTTCAGTATTATTCACTAAGGAGGTTCCTGTGTGACCTAGTCTAGGTGATCCTGCTCTGGCAGGGAGGTTGGACTGGATAATCTTTCGAGGTCCCTTCCAACTCCTAATATTCTGTGATTCTGTGAAAACTGTTATCCAACAAGCAAATGGTTGAGAAATTAAGAGAATCAGTCCATCAGAATCGCAACCATTGGTCTACTGCCTCTTAAAAAAAATTCCCAGTGAGGGTATGTAATAGAAAGGAATCGCAGGACTTTATTAAATCCTTAAAGAACTTAATACTATATCCCACACATCTTCAGTATCACAAAATCATTCTGTATCTCAGTCTTGTTAGAAAAATCTTGTGATCAGTAGCTTTTGATGAGCAGACACCCTTTGCTGTTGAACAAACATGCACTAACATGGGATGAAGTACATATTTCCTTTGTAGCTAGCACGTGATACCTTGATAAAACTTGATAGAATAACCAGACCCACACAGCAAGAGGTACACACTGCAGGGAAACTGAGGATGGCAGCCTTTACCTCCATGATCTAGCATTCATTTGGAAAGGAAAATGTATGAGATAAGCGACACTGGAATCCCAATCTATCCACGAATTTAAAGGCAACATTTGTTGCTGCATAACCTCTAGCACAAACTACATGATCTAGTGTGTGATGACATACATGACCTTATCCACTTGGAATACTACTTTTTAGCCATTCTATAAAAAACATCTTTTGCCCAAGACTGCTGGTTGGACATGAAGATGTTACTTCAGTTAAAGCCAAGCTGAGGACATGTTCAAGTCTGCATTTAGATTATTTAGGTTGCTACGCTAACAACAACAAAACAAACAAACAAAAAACAAAAAACCCACAAACAAAAAAGAAAGTAGAAGTCATTTCCTCTTAAGGTACTGCTGCAGGAATACTGACTATAGGTCTTCCTGTAGGAATTACTGAATTATTTACCTTTGCAAGGTCTTCCTCTATAACATCATTTCTCATTTGAGCAGCATCCAACTGAGTATAGAATCGTGCACCAATCATAGGCATGATATCATTTACACTGCGAAGCCTGTTTTGGTCAGTCAGCAAATACCTGCCAAAATATCCCCACCCCAAAAAGATTACTTAAGCATGCTGCAGATGCCGGAGAGATCATCCTATTATGATTTTATAACTATTTGACCCTGATGTCTATTCAACATACAAAGTTGACAATTGCAGCATTTCTTAAAAAGATTCTAACAGAGAAAACATGTGTGTTAAATGCATACATCCAGTCATTTATACAAGATAGGAGTGTACTTTCATGGAACTGCGTAATTCACTCCACTCACACATCAAGAACAAATTCAAAAAGAGAGAAGACTCAGAGATTCAGATTGTAATGCAACTGGTTTTTAAATGAGAGGGAAAAGTAGAAAACTTTTCTTAGGCTGCAGAAGAAAGGCTTAACGTACTAAAGAACAACACAAAATAGTATGCAGCCAAGAAAAAAACGGCACTCAACCCTTTGGTCAAAAAGGCAATGTGCCTATTGAGAAATACCTTCTGAAACTAAGATAAGACTAACATACTGCTATGGCAGATAATAGGCAGTGAAGCCCAGTATTGAAAACAACTTTAAATGCTTGTTTTGCTTAAGCTCCTATTCTTATTGGGAGCTTTAACTGCACTTAGTTAAGAAAGTACATTGATTTTTATTAGATACATCATGAAAATACACATTACACAGAAACTTTAAATTACAATGTTTAACAATGCATTGACTGTGCAGACCACTCAATGACAGTAATTTTTAGATGCCAGTAAGATTACAGATATAACATAACTTGACATTTTCATTTGTATGCTTAAAAATATAGTAATTTCCTTTAAAAGATTTAAGTAAACTCACAAAATCAGATTCTTCAGGTCAGAGGAATAGTTGATTGTCACCAGTTCCATTGCTTTCTGCAAATTCTCTCTCTGAATTCCTGATAAAGAATTGCATGCCAAAGCCAGCACAACTTTCCCCAGGGAGATCAGATCTGCTTGCTAACAGGTAAAACACGCATAGATAAGATTTTTAGTATAGACAAGTAACCTATAGCACTAGATGGCATTTAAAAAGAGACAGTTCTTCAATAACCTTAGAAGAATTTGAGAAACTAAAATAAGCACTATTCAAATCATAATTCAATAAAACTGTCCAAGTTACAGCAATTAAAACATACAGAGGAAAATCTGTCCCGATTTTCTGTCCTGATACCTAGCAATTTCCAAGTACTACATTTACCTTTGAATGCTTAAAATTTACCTATTTTTAGCTTAAGGATAGTACCAGAGAAAACTCTTGTGCAGTGAGCAGAAGCTCTGCAAAGAGTTTCTCCTAACCACCCACATGCTCGCTCCTGAGGAGTCAAGGAGTTGGTGGCAAACAAAACAAATCTTCTCAACATGAGATGCAGAAGTACATATCAAGGATGAATTGTTAAAACAGAAACACCATTTGCTGGACTCATATCTTTTCACACTGGCCATCTAGCGTGAATTCCACATTGGATTCCAGAAAACGATGTTTCTGTTTTAACAAAGAGCTCAAAGATTTTTCTCTCTAACAGCCAGTGTGAAGAGATATGAACTGTGTGAAATAACTAGCCAGGAACAGGCCTGTATGTCTGATAAATGGAGCAGCATCACGTTTTATAAAGAAATCCTTAGCATTACTAAACACTTTCCTTAGAAGTAGAACTGGTCTTACATTGCATGTGGGCTGCTTTGACACAACAGAAAATTCTGACAATTTTAATAGACAGCCACCAGAAATTATTTTTAAAAGCTATACCAAATTTTAGAGCCCATCCCTAAAAGCAAGAGCCAAATTTAGCAGCACATGATAACAGTAATAGCAAAAGCTGACTGATTCTTTCCATGGACAGACTTTCTGCTGCACACAACTTGGACAAACTTGAAACACTTGCAGCTATCCATGCTGGATGCCTGCTTCAGACTGAACTTATGACTCAACTAGAGATACAAATTTAGTACTTTCCTGAGGTTTTTTTTTTCTGAGAAAATAAGGTATTTCTGCAAAATTAAAAAAGTGAAAGCTACTAATTATCAAGAACATCAGCTCCATAGTCTGGAGCAAGGCTATGCCATTTAGCAGAGAACGCAGTCATACAAGGAACACACTTTGTCAATTATGTAAGAAACGCCAAAATTTAGCAGCACTGCAACATTAGAAGTTCTATTGAGAATCTGGCAGCTTTAGAAATCTGCTGTGATGATGAAGGTGCCACAGCCCCTCTTAGCTCTTCCACACAGAAGGGTAACCACGTTTGCTGCCTCTGGTTGCAGTAGCTGAGTAGAGCTTTCCCTGTGGCCACATCTCCCAGGTATTGAGGGACAGAGCAAAGAAAATGTTTCCAGGTCTTTCAATATCCCTGTTGTTTCTACATGAAGTATGATTAAGCAGCACAATTTAAACATGGATACACAACAAGGCAGAACTTAAAAAGCATGGTACTCTTGTAGCTAATAAAGACAGAAACAGGATGTGGAAAATTAGGCAGAAACAAGGACAAAGCGATGGAGATGGAGATAGGACTTGCATTCGCTAGACTCAATTTCCTAAGGAAGTAGGAATTCCTGGGTATCGGCATTCCTTTGTACTTTGGTAAAGAGAAACAAACCAGAGCAACAAACCCCATTTTGGTGAGAAGCCACTTGCTTCTACTACTACCAAGCAGTCAATTTGAGCAGGAGAGTACACTGCTATAGTACTGAACAGAGGAACCTTGCTGGTACAGAGACATATGTCACCTAGCATAATAGCTTTTTTTTTTTTCCTCTCTCTAAAAGACCCGGAAGAAATAAGCATTTGTATTAACCACAATCAATCTTCTTTCTGCAGCCCCCTACTTTACACTTAATGCCTTCCAAATTTAGTAATTCATAACGATGTATCCTATATAAATTCTGTCATCACACAACCCTGAGACACCAGAAATATACAACTTCAGGCAAGACCCTATGAAAACACAGGCTTCCTTTAATTAGGTGTTTTCATAATACAGATTACATTAGATTTTAAAAATGGTTGAGAAAGTCATAACATTAACATCAGCCAGGAAATTCTTAATTCAGGCTTTATGGTTTTTTGAGTGACTTACAACCTTAGTGTGTGTTTGTTTTGCAAATTACATCTAATAGAAAACTGGCAGAGATGATACAGCACACAAACGCAGCTTCAGACACATTTCAAATTACAGTCAATGCTTAACTTGTTTTAGTTGCAAAAGTGGCTTGGATTCATCCCACTAATTTTAGGAACTTAAACTTCAAGCGATTCAGTAAAGAGCCCAATCCATTTAAGATATCTGTAATTCTGCAAGAAAATTCAGATTTTGAGCAAGCTAAATTGCTCTCTGGAGATGCCTCACTACTCACTGACAGCTGAAAGCCTGCAAGAAAGTGTTATTACAGTGCCCAATGTTTGAAGTTTTACAAGTGCACAAAGACAGGGAATTTTTTTTCCTGTGTTCAGTAAGACAAGGGAATGGATATCAAGATTCATGCAAGTCGGATTCTTATTTCAGAAGGGATCTAACTACCGTTCACTGACCAACTCTATCCATGTAGACAGGGTACACAACTTCCCAGAAGCTGGGGTACACCATCTTTTCTGCAAGGAAGAAAACCACATATTCCTATTAAGCCCTAACCTTCCCTCTGAAAACATCAACAGATTCAGCTCTTCCTGCTTCTAGGCAGAGAAAGGTTAAAGCAGGCACACAAGATCTACTAGACCTCCTTGGAGCAGGGAAATAAATGCTGTATTCCTGTAGTAGCCTTGTTAGTACAAGGTACAGATCAACATTAGGTACAATCACTTCCCTGTTTATACTCTGTATCGTGCTTTGAACGTATCTGTGGATCATGCCAGTTCCTTTTGCCACAGGCCTGCCAAAAGACTTTTGCTATGGTAACTATCAACAGTGATTATTAAGTCATACTAAGTAAAATGTACCTTCACAAAAATGTGGAGCATCTCCCTTATGAGGAGTGGCTGAGGGAGCTGGGTCTCTTTAGCTTGGAGAAGAGGAGACTGAGGGGTGACCTCATTAATGTTTATAAATTTGTAAAGGGCGAGTGTCAGGAGGAAGGAGCCAGGCTCTCCTCAGTGATAGCAAATGACAGGACAAGGGGCAATGGGTGCAAGCTGGAGCACAGGAGGTTCCATGTGAATATGAAGAAAAACTTTTTTACTTTGAGGGTGACAGAGCACTGGACCAGGCTGCCCAGAGAGGTTGTGGAGTCTCCTTCTCTGGAGACATTCAAGGCCAACCTGGATGTGTTCCTGTATGACCTAGTCTAGGTGATCCTGCTCTGGCAGGCGGGTTGGACTGGATGATCTTCCGAGGTCCCTTTCAACTCCCAATATTCTGTGATTCTGTGATACCTTGCATGCAACTAATGACCATTTAATTAGCAACTCAATTCATAGCTGAAACTTGTACCAACCTTTTTATCTCCTGAAAACTTTACTAGTAAAGATTTTATCACCATCATCCAGTTCATTGATAGAAATATTAGATAGCATTAGATGAAAAAACAGCCCCTAGGAGATAAACTCAGAAACAGCTCCCTTCATTAATGTCTCTGTGTTATCAAACAAATTTCAAATATGTCAGTGAGCAATTTGAAAGTTAACTGAATAGGCACCCCTTCCCTTCTGTGTGTGTGTGTGGATGTGTGGATATATGTGTGCGCGTGTGGATAGGTGTGTGGATATATGTGTGCGCGTGTGGATAGGTGTGTGGATATATGTGTGCACGTGTGGATATATGTGTGCACATATACATATACATACACACACACACAAAATATTAAAAAGGTATGTGCTACTATGTTAAATGCCCTGGAGATACCTCAGCATTTTATGCACTTGGCTTTACTAGTCAGACATCTAAGCTAGTCAAATAAATCTTATTTTTTACAAGATCCATTTTCCATTTTTCATTATCCTGTTTCACTGCTTTGTTTGGATCAATATCAGCTCATCCACTCTACAATTCTGTGGATTCACTTATCTTTTTAAGTTCTGGAATTGCCCTTAGAAGTCACTCCAAGTTTCTAGATTTTTTTGATTATTTTTTTAAAGTCAGCATTCATACCTCAGATGCCTCTTCACCTAGTGTCTTTAAATTTAGGGAGGCATATGTAAAAGTTATTTTGGTTTGCTAAATTAAAAATATTTGAGAAAATGTAACCTGATAGCCCTTGTTTAAAAAAAAAAAAAAATCAATAAAACTTATGTTTCTTCTTCATTTCATATGGAGAGGACTCACCTTCATTTTAATCTAAATACAAGAATATTAATCAAGCCTTTTTACTGTTTCCTACATCACCAGTTTTCCCACCTGTATTTCTTAACTGACTGATACAAGACTTAAGGACTGGAGTGTGGGAAGTGATGTGCTGGAACTGATACAGGTTTAACACCTTATTTTTAATGCAAGCAGCCATTCATATTTCATTTACTTATTTTTAGCTTCCCTTACTCTCACCTTTATTTAACTCTTAAATTATCGTATAAATTCATGTGTTTAACACAGATTGTAAAGAACAATTGCATTCCTTTTACATAGCCCCTCGCTGTTCTAGCCAAACTCTTTCCTATCTGTATTAGCAATGGGAAATAGCTAGAAAGTGACAAATGCTAACAAAAATACCTTCCTCCATTGAACACAGCAACAAGGAAATGCATATTAGCTGGGCAGTAAACCAAGAGATAACCTCCATTTTTAACAGTCACAGGAGTCCCAGAGGAATTCAGGAACTGGGTCATGGATTGAGAGGAAAAAGGACAAGCAGCAGCTGTTATTTTGTAGTTTTATCTGACATGGGCAAATGAAGGTAGAGGATGATAAATGATTCCTGAATTTCAAGGAATGAACTCAGTCCGGAATCTCTGAAGGAAAAAGATGGACAGTGAAAGTCCAGTTCTTCTAGAGGAAGTGACAAAAAAGAAGGCAATATACAATACTTTATAACTCCAGTTTAGATCTTCCAAACTATGTATTCAAGAATACTTCTTTCCTGGTTTAGCAGTGATACCTGAACAATTTGGATAATAGTAGTGTATAGAAAAAGCAAAACCATCCCCCCTAAACAAAAACAGGCATTACCAAGCAAGTTAGTTGCCAAGTGTTGGACTGCTATGGTGTTAAATGTTTTTGACAGATTAATGTACCTGTATTTTTAGATTTGTATGTCCAAGTACATTAAATGTTTTGCTTTAAAATTAGTTTAAATGTCATAATACCTCAGAAGGATCTATTTCCCAGCTGCCATTAAAAAAAGAAAATTAAAGAATTATTTAGATGTAAAAAAACCCAACCAAAGAACTCACTATTTTTTAGGCATGGAATCCTTCACTTGCACATATTCCTATCTTCTCTCAGCTGTTTTCCACTAAATTATGACCAAAAGCCCACTGATATGTAGCTGGGGTGAGGCAGAGGAAATCCTTTATGTGCTACTCAAAGTACACTGAAAATTTCTTTATCACTTAAAAAAGAAAAAAAAAAACTTGCTATGTTCTAGGATGTGGTCTCCAATAAGCTAGTTTCTGCCTGATCAAAGTTCAAACACTTCATTTATTTCTGGAAGATTCTGAATGAGCAATTTTCTCACAGTGAATAAGCTCAATTAATGAAAAAAAATTAAATCCAACTCCCTACTGTAGTATTTCACTCCCAGTACGGACAAGGTATTTGATGACTGCTGAAGCAATGTACTTTACCCTGAG